TTGCCAGCTGTGACTGGGAAATCCAACATAGTTCAAGAAATTCCCAAGCTACAGGATCCTCTAGACCTGGAGGCTCCACAGCCAATTTGGATGCTTTTTTACTTCCAAGGATGGACCTGCTGATTCATGTATCCTTGGGCTCTGTGGGGTTTGCATGGTTCAGCATTTTATGGTGTGCATGCTTGGGCATCCCAGGTATGTGAGATAGCCTCTTAGAGAAACAGACACCAGTGGTGACCATATTCCCCTCTTATACTCAACACATTTTATAGATTAAAGGCCCCAGAAATCTTATAATAGAGAAGCCTAGTATTTCCCAACTTGCCTGCAACCCTTTGCAACTCATAAATCACACTTTGCTTTGAAATGGAGACCTCTGAAAGAAAAATGTATGGGCATATGTCTCATTGTTTTCTTGGGGTTGGCAGAATGAGGAAATGTTAGATTAAGCCTCTTTCTGGCCCAATTTGCGGCCTCAGGGCTGGTGCCAACTGCTAACTCTAATGGACTCTGGTCCCTGGTAGGGCCCTGGGCACTGGCTGATGTTCCACAGCAGTTCTGTGAAGCTGTTGCAAAGTCATGAGTTCCCCAAAGTCATGGGCTCACATAAAAAGTTGAGAGTTTAATGGCAGTGTTAAGAGGGCAGCTGCTAATGGTGAGGTTTATCAGTTGGAGGCCTAGAGTAGAACAGATCTGTTCTTTTTTAAATTTTTTTATTTTATTGAGTTTGTACAGAGAGGAAGAGAGAGGGATAGAAAGCTAGAAACATCGATGAGAGAGAAACATTGATCAGCTGCCTCCTGCACACCCCCTATTGGGGATGTGCCCACAACCAAGGTACGTGCCCTTGACTGGAATTGAACCTGGGACCCTTCAGTCCACAGGCCGACACTCTATCCACTGAGCCAAACCGGTTTCGGCCAGACCTGTTCTTTTAATTCTGGTTCTTCTTCTACTTGTATGGCCAAGAGCTAATTACTCATCAGCTGTGAGTCTCCAATTCCTTGCCTGTGAAATTGGTATAATATTTATTTCACAGGATTGCCATTGATGTTCATTGGACATAATTATTGTTGTTCTTAGTTTGCTACTGTTATAGGTAGTGCTCAAAAAATTATACCTTCTTGTTCATGTTACTGCTATATGAAACCCAGCATTACTCTTGTAGCCTCATGACAAAGCAAACACACACAACACACACACAAACACAAACAAATGAGGCTGAAACATGTGTATGTATACCTTTAAGTATCTCTTTTGAGCAAAGTAAAAAAAATTTTTTCAGATTGAAATTCTGTACCAGTTCTAACATTGGTTTTGTTGGATAAAATGTGGCAAATAAACATATTTCTATATGCAATAATGGTGTTCTTGTTTGAAAACAATGAGAACTCTAACATAATGGGCATCTATTGTTTTTTCCTCCCCTTTTCACGAGATATGTTCTTTCTCCGCTTCCATAATGCAGTTCTGTGGCAGTACCCATGCTCTTACGGATCCTAGTTCTTCCGAAAGATCATTTGGTTCAGGGATGGGCACCTGGATGAACAAATTAACTGTCCTTCCCTGGGAATTTTACTTTTTAAACCCTCATTTGAGGATATGTTTTTATTAATTTAATTTAATTTTTAAAAATATATTTTATTGATTTTTTTACAGAGAGGAAGGGAGAGGGATAGAAAGCTAGAAACATCGATGAGAGAGAAACATCGACCAGCTGCCTCTTGCACACCCCCTACCGGGAATGTGCCCGCAACCAAGGTACATGTCCTTGACCAGAATCGAACCCGGGATCTTTCAGTCGGCAGACCAGACCGATGCTCTACCACTGAGCCAAACCGGTTTCAGCTGTTTTTATTGATTTTAGAGAAAGAGAAAAACATCAATGTGTAAGAGAAACGTCAATCGGTTGCCTCCAGTACACATCCTGATTTCGGATTGAACCAGAAACCTGAGTATGTGCCCTGACTGGGAATCCTACCCACAACCTTTCAGTGTACAGGATGACACTCCAACCAATTGAGCCACATCAGCCAGGGCTCCTGGGAATTCTTAATTCGGGACAAGAGATTATCACTCTCAGCTTGTCTAATGGTGAGGCTGCAGATGTGACCTTGAGAGCTATCAGTGGCCTTTTCTCCAGCCACATGGAGGGCGCTCGTCTAATAGCATGAAGCTTATGTGCAGAGAGAAGCAGAACTTCAGAATGGGGACAGAGAGAAGTCCCTGGGGTCCAGTGGACCACTTATGTTGGGACAGTTTATTCATATCAACAGTACATTCCTCTCTTTTGCCTATTAGTTTAGTTTGCCTTGAGATCCTTTCAATGGCAACCAAGAGAGCTGTGACTGGCTTACAAATCTCAAAGGGATGTTGTGAAGACCAGTTCTTGGCACAGAGCAGGAACTCAACAAATGTTGGTTTAGCACTCTTATATTTGACCACCAAATGAAAAAAAGATTGGGGCAATTTTCGCTTCTAGAAGTAACTTGCCTTTGAGCAGCGCCTAGAGACAAAAAGAAGGAGTCCTCCACCACCACCCCCCCAACCCCCCCACCCCCACCCCCACATACATCCCTTTAGTCCTAACTGGATTCTGCTTCTGGATGTTCACAGTCCTGCCTTGAAATGCTAGTACTTCCTTCAGTGAATCTTACGTCCATTTTTCCCTCAAATCCTTTCCCCTATGCTACCCAACATCTGAGACTTGGTCTGGTGGCCCTGAACTGTGCCTTTGACCTGAGGTGAGAGAGATGTGACCCACCACAGGCTTTAAGGGTTGTAAGCTCCTGGGTAGGGGCATGGGGGTGGACTCAAGCTGGGGTTGGGAATGAGGGATGAGGGTTGGAGACTGAGCCTCCTTCAAATTCAACACGAAAGGGTTAAATATGCTCATTTCTCAAGGTCAGACATTGAAAATAGGGAGTCTCCATTATTAAGAACTTGCTTTACTGCTTTGGCTAATATTAGTCAAATCAGTGACATTAGACTTCAAGGGCTGCTCTCATTTTGGAGGACTCCATGTCAATGTTTTTATTCTAAGCATTGCTCTGATAGATGAGGTTTGGGAGTAGAATTGCTTCTACTCAGGCAATTCTATGGTGGTGGCCTTTCTAACCTGCATTTTCTTTTTTCCCAATCCTCACCTGAGGATTATGTTTATTGATTTTAGAGAGGTGAAGGGGAAGAGAGAAACATTGATGTGAGAAAGATCGATCCCTCCTCCCATATATACGCCGAACCCAGATCGAATCCGAAACCTAGCTATGTGTGCTGGCCAGGAATTGAACCCACAACCTTTCCGTGTACAGGATGATACTCCAACCGAGCCACACAGGCCACGGCTATACTCTGTATTTTCTAAACAGAAAAAGCCAGGGTCACGAGGAAAGGCAGTGAACTGATGGAGGCAGAGCTCAACCTTTCATTGGGCCAAAGCAATTTAGCCTTGGCCAGGCAAGCTTCCATAACTCAATATATCAAACCCTGTCCGCAACTGCACCAATTTCTTTTAGGTTCATGTTTCAATCCCCAGACTAAGCAGTTTATAGACGAAGTCCTTCCAACCCAAGCAGAAGTCTCCCTGGGTGGAATCTTGGTAAAGTCAGCACTTGTCTTACTGTCAGCGATATTTTAGCACTTCCTCTTAAATTTCAGAGATATTTCAGCACAGTGAAATTCGTTGTATTATAATAATAATAATAATAATAATAATAAAGATTGATTTTAGAGAGAGGAGAGAAACATCGATTTGTTGTTCTACTTATTTATGCATTCATTGGTTGGTATTTGTATGTGCCCTGACCAGGATTGAATCTGCAACCTTGGTGTATGGGATCATGCTCTAACCAGTTGAGCTACCTGGCCAGGGACATAGTACGTTTTTTTAAAAAAAGCAATCCCTGACAATTTAGTCAGGGGCATTGATCTCTTTTTCCCTTAGATTGTCAAAAAAATAAAATAAAAACAACAACATCCGTATGGTGTGAATGAATAAAAATACACCTAATTTTTGTATCAGATTGGCAAAAAAAATTTTTTTTTGCTGTGCCGCGGAATTTTAGTAATTAGTTTACATGTGCTATGAGATGAAAAAGGTTGAAAATTGCTGTTTTAGTGCTTCTTCAAAAGGAGCATTAGAACTGTCAGGTGTGGAATAAAAAAAAATCATCCTTCCTGGACCAACTCTAGACCCGGCATCAGAATCTCTGAGGGGATCGGGCAGTGGGGTGCCAGGAGGGTTCAGAATCCTTATTTTCACAAGCACCCAAGTAACTGTATTTTTTCTTTTCAAATATATTTTGAAAATATACTGCATTCAGAGAGGAAGGGAGAGAGAGGGAGGGAGGGAAACATCACTGATGAGAGAGTATCATTGACCGGCTGCCTCCCGCAGGCCCCCAGCCCCAACCCCCACAGACGTGACCCCCCTGGTTCACAGGTGGAAACTCCACCACTGAGCAACACCAGCCAGGGAATTCATTCCTAAGCACCGCAGGGACGGCCCACGCCGCTCGCCCCCCTCGCATCCTCCGTCGCCTCCCCACGGGGCCACCAGAGTTCAGTTCCCTCTTAGTTACGGCCCCACGGCCCCGCACAACCCTCAGGACAAAGCCCAGAAGCCGGGTGGGCCCCTTGCCTGGACCTCTGGCCCGACCAACACCCGACCCCTTCGCCCCAGGGCCCCGACCGGAAGTGACGGCCCCGGTCGTTGGGAGACGCCCCGCCCCTTCCGGCCCTCGCCCCGCCCAGGCCTCGCCCCTCGGGCCTCCCAGCCCCTCCCCCTCCGCTCTCGCCCGCTTTCTGTCAGCCTCTCCCTCTCCCTCCTCTCCCCTCCGCTCCTTCCTCTCGCTCCCTCGCCCGCACCTGAGCACACGCACCTGCCCCGGCCGGCTCCGCGCCCTCCTCCCCCTCCCCGCCCTCCCCGCCCCGGACGGGAGGCTCGGGCCTCGGCCGCGGGAGCCTCGCGGCTGCGTCACCGCCGCCCCGCCACAGACAAGATGGACACCGCCGAGGAAGGTAAGTCGCGGCGTCCGCGCCCTTGCACCGGCGCCCGGGTTCCGCCGGCCCGCAGCCCGGTCCGCGGCGCTCGAGGGGTGCGGGGGCGCCTCCCCTCCGGCGGGGGGCGCGCGGGGGCCGCGGCGGGGCCGGCGCCCGAGCCGTTTGCCCGCGGAGCAGCGGGTGCGCGGGGCGGGGGCCGCGGCGGCGGCGGCGGCGGCGGGGGAAGGTGACCCCGCGGCGCCCCCCGCCGTTTCCCGCCCGCGCGCGGAGGTCCGGGCGCTGCGGGGCCGGGGGCGTCCGGGCTGCGGGACCGAGGCTGGTCCGCCTCCCGCCCCGCACACCCCGCCGGGCCCGGGCGGCGGGGGCGGCGGGGGGGACGGGTCGTGGCGGCGGCTCCCGGGTTGGGGGCGTTCCCCACGCCCCCCCCCCCCTGTCTCTCTGTCTCTCTGTCTCTCTCTCTCTCTGTCTGTGTCTCTCTCTCTCTCTCTCTCTCTCTCTCTCTCTCTCTCTCTCTCTCTCTCTCTCTCTCTCTCTCTCTCTCTCTCTCTCTCTCTCTCTCTCTCTCTCTCTCTCTCTCGGTTCTCTCTTCCTCGCTGCCGTGCTGCCCATCGCCGGGCAGGCCGGCCCCCCATCGCCCCAGAACTTCTTTGTTGACTCGGAAACTTGGCGGAAAATGCCGCCTGCCCCCCGCCAGGTGACGGCCGGCTGGCGTGGACTCGCCTGACCCCGATTTTAAAACCTTGCCCTCCGCCCGCCGGTCCCGGGAGAATCTGTTGACAAAACGGGGAAGAGGAAGGCCCGGCGAGGCCGGCTGTGCGGGGTGGCGGGAGCGAGGGTCCCCGGGATCCTTTTGTTTTGCTGTCGTTTGTTCTGGGTGCAGCCCCCGACCCCGGGGCCGGGGCTTGGTGGGGGGGGGTGCTCGCTTTGGAGATGTGGTTGTCTTGGGACAAGCTGAGCTTTGTAAACGGAATATTACCTAGGTATAAACATCCGATTATGGAAATGCATGTGTGTATCCGGATACTGAATATGGCAGGTTATTTTAAAGCAGTTTTTTAAAAAAATCTTTTTTTTTATTTTTTAAAGGGTGGGCCAATTTAGAAAACGTATAGAGGAAATTCCTAAATGACCCTGTTTCTTAGATGTTTTGATTATCAGTGAAGGTACATTTAGGTGGGGGAAATGATAAACCTTTCTGAATTGCGATTTTGGTGGGTTTATGTGGAAATCGAGGAGCACTGTCATGGCATGGAATAAGGAGGGATAAAAAGTTTGATATTGTCTAAATATACCATGAGTTGATAGAACTCGGCTTATTTTATTTTATTTTATTTATTTTTTTATGAAGTCTTTCCTTTGATAATCAAGGAGAACCTCCATGGTAATAACACTGCCTGTGACACCACGGTTTACAAAGTATACTCACCTGCATTCACATTTGATCTTCACTGCAGCTAGGTGGGGCAGGTAGGCATTATCTTTTATAGACGGGGAAATTCGGGCTTAGGTATTTTAATAGGGTTTTCAAGTTTCACACCCAGTAAGAGACAGATTTGAAACTAGATATGCTGATTATAGAGTTTTCCTTTATTATGCCTTAGTTGTTTGACAGGACTTCATTTTGTGTTTGCTTTATGAGACTGCCAGTCATTCGGTGAAAATGAATTTAGTACTTCTCTTGCCTATTTTTGCGAAATTACAAATTGGAAATCTTGTGAAATTTTCAAGATTAATTTAAACTGAACTTGGGCCGAAGCCGGTTTGGCTCAGTGGTAGAGCGTCGGTCTGCGGACTGAAGGGTCCCGGGTTCGATTCCGGTCAAGAGCATATACATTGGTTGCCGGCACATCGCCGGTAGGGGGTGTGCAAGAGGCAGCTGGTGGATGTTTCTCTCTCATCGCCGTTTCTAGCTCTCTCCTTTCCAATTCTGTTCAAAATCAGTAAAATATATTAAAAAAATAAATATATTAAAAATGAACTTGGAAAAAACACGGGAAGGAAAGAATTTCATGATAAAAATGTTAGTTAAATTAAGATGCAAAAAGCGTGCGAACAACTATTTGCTAAATTACAGATAATTTTTTATATTAAGAAAATGGATTGAGTTCTTATCTGATTACAAAAGAAACGATCTTTTAGGAGATTTGGAAAATATGGTTAAACAAAGAAAAATTTTAAATATTTTAATTTTATCACACCTTTTAAAAACACTGATGATATTGTTTACTTTTTTATTTTTCATCTGAACAAAGAGAATAAGAAAGCTACTAAAATATCAACCTTGCAAACAGTGTAACTTCTCTTTTAAAAATAGCATTTTGCTTGCCTCTAGCGGCGCCATATATGATGTTATAATGCTCAAAATGTTTTGTATTTATAGTAAGCAATACTGAATTCTGCTAGAAAATTGATCATTTGCCAAATAGATTTTTCCCTTTCATATTATTTACTGGATTTCAAGTGTTTAGTGTGTTAAATTTTTATAAAATCAGGTTTATGATCAATTTTCATAATACAAAGGATGGGTGAGTCATATGTTTGTATGAATACAGATGTATTACATAAACTGTTATCTATCATCACATCTTTAAACTTGAGAGCTGAGAGAGACTATAGATGTGAAGCTTCCTCATTTTATGGATTAGGAATCTGATCCTGCAGTGCACCGAGATTTTTTCAGATACTGGGGGATAGGGTTGGGGGATCTATCCTTTGCTCAAGGATGCTTTTTATTCTTATTTATTTTAATTGATTTCACAGAGGGAAAGGGAGAGGTAGAGAAACAGAAACATCAATGATGAGAATCATTGATCTGCTGTCTCCTGCACACCCCCAACTGGGAATCAAGACTGAAACCCCACCATGTTCCCTGACAGGGAATGAACAGAAACCACCTGATTCTTAGGTTGACACTTAACTACTGAACCACACCTGCCTGGCAGGATATGTATGTTTTTAAAAAAAGTATCACACTATTGGGATAGATGTTGCAAGCTAGTATTGATGTATGAAACTCTCATATGATATTAAACATTTTGCCGTTGTAGACTGCTTTCATTTCAGCCCAGTGATACATAGAATTGATTTTTTTTTTTTTCATTTTGCTAAATTATTCCTTATGCTACCGGTAGCAGAACGTAAAAACAATCTATCAGCTTTTTTTTTTTTTTTTTTTTTTTTTTTTTTTTTTTTTAACAAAATGCCAAAGCAATTGTTCTTTTTAAAAAATCTTCACCTGAGGATATTTTTTCAATTTTTTAAAAAGAGAGAATGAAGAAGATGGGGGTAGGGGGAGGTGGAGAGGGAAATATCAATGTGAAAAAGAAACATTGATTGGTTGCTTCTGTTTATACCCAGACAACAGATTGAACTGAGTTAGTGCCCTTGACTGGGAGTTACACCTGGAACCCTTTGATCCTCCAGCTGGTGCTCTAACCACTGAGAAAAAATTAGCCATGGCCAAAGTAGTTGTTCTTTTTAATTTTTTTTCCAGGAGATATTTTATTATTTTAAAAATATATTTTATTGATTTTTTTACAGAGAAGAAGAGAGAGGGCTAGAGAGTTAGAAACATCGATCAGCTACTTCCAGCATACTCCATACTGGGGATATGCCTGCAACTAAGGTTCATGCCCTTGACCGGAATCGAATCTGGGACCTTTCAGTCTGCAGGCCGACACTGAGCCAAACTGGTTTTGGATATTTGCTATTTTTATTTATTTATTTTTTGTTAATCCTCATCCAAGGATATTTTTCCATTGTTTTTTAGGAAGAATAGAAAAGAGAGGGAAAGACAGAGACCTCAGTGTGAGAGAAACACATCAATTGGTTGCCTCCTGCACGAGCCCCAACCAAGGCCTTGGGCTGGGAGGAGCCTGCAACTGAGGTACATGCCCTTGACTGGAATCAAACCCGGGACCCTTTGGTCTGCAGGCTGATGCGCCAGGCACTGAGCCAAACTGGCTAGGGCCAAAGCAATGGTTCTTCTTATTTTTTTTTTTTTTTAATTTATTGATATTTTACAGCGAGGAAGGGAGAGAGATAGAGAGCTAGGAACGTCGATGAGAGAGAAGCATCGACCAGCTGCCTCTTGCACACCCCCTACTGGGGATATGCCCGCAACCAAGGTACATGCCCTTAACCTGAATCGAACCCGGGACCTTTCAGTCCCCAAGCCGACGCTCTATCCATTGAGCCAAACCGGTTTTGGCAAAGCAATGGTTCTTAATGCTTTATGAAACATAGTCATTGGGACGGTATGAAGCTGAAGTGTATTGCAATTGATCCTGTTCTGTATTTACTTTGGGAAAACTTGAGGTGACTTGGATGAGTTAAGTGGATAAATTGTCTGAATCAGATAGTTACTGTCTCTCTAGAACTACATGGTTTTTCATTTCTACTTCCAGACATGCCTGCTTCATTCTTCTTACCACAAATCAACTTTCACTGTTTGGGCATAGTTATGATCAAGCAAATATGCTCTTATTTGACAGAGCTTTATTGAGCATCTGCTACAAACCAGGCACACTATTTTATGCACTTGGGCTAGGCAGAGAATTAACTATACAAAACCCAAGAACTCCCCCCTCCCCCACCCCAACAAAAAACAAAAAAAATGAAACACACTAAAAACAAAAGCACAAAATCATATAAGGAATTATATGGCATAACTAGAAGGTTATAAATGCTGTGGAGAACAGTAAATCAGGAGGGACTAAGGAGTGCCAGGATGTGAAGATGGGTTGCAATTTTAAATGTCTCCTGCCCACTGAAAAGGAATAAAGGAAGAGAGGGAATTAGATGCGCAAATAAATGCTCTGTGGACAGAGCAGTCTGGGCAGAGTGAACAGCCAGTGTGAAATCTCATTGGGAAAATGCCAGGAATTTTCAAGAAATAACCAGGAGGGCCAGAAAATGAGTTGGGGAAGAATAAGTAAAATATGAGGTCAGAGAGATCATGGGCCCAGTGGGGAATGTTGAGGTGAGTAAGTAGGACTTAGGTGACTTACTTTTGTGAG